CTTGCTTTGATGCCCAAAAACACGTTTCAGCTGGCATTCTGTGCCATTTTCGCTCATGCTAAACAACTTCATCATTGAATGCGTTTAACCTAATCGAAAATCATTTAGCGATTTCCCAAGATCAGATTATTTCCTAACTGGCCAGTTGACTTTCGTTTTTCCATAACCATCTGGTCAGATGCCGCATGCGATTTCCCTGGAACATGTTTTAATTGCTCAATACAATAAAAGTTCCTTATATACCCTTTTAATAAGCGGTATCTTTTTCCAACTTTGCTTTTCTTTACAGAGTACAGCCTTTGCAATCATTTTTAAGGCACTTAATTTTGTGCATGACGATGGTTGACTTCAACACCGTTACGGGCAGCAATTTGACATTCTACATGTCATCGAGGAAACGAAGATGAAAACGTGGATTCTTGGGTCCAATATAATTTTTAAGGAATTCCCCTACTTTAATATTTTTAAAATAGTAAATTCGCGCTACTCTATCGAAAAAAGAGAAAACCGTGGCTCATTATTCAGGCTAATTGGTTTCGGCAGATATATCCGACAGTAAAATATTATAACACTTGCCAGATTTATAAGTGCAGATAAGGACAACCAAAAAGTATGTGCCGCCAAGCGAAACTAAAACTGTCATCTCGAATTCGTGTTCAGTGCTACATCAACCGAACCATCAATGCAGTAGGTGGGCTAACTCATGAAATGTCAACCGAAATTCCGAAATGCGTCTTCGTTTCAAACGGATTAATTAAGTGGGGTTTCAAAACTGATCATCGTGCAGAATAATTCTATAGTAATTCAGTTATTTCAGGCTGTCGGCTTTCGAACGAATTTCTTTGAGGTTGCATGCAAAAACCATGCTCAGCAAAGAATGATTACCTAATTATCATACATTTTTCTCATTGATTTTCGATGCCCTTAAATACCCAATTATATTTCATGGAAAGCATGCATAAAAATATTCATTCTTTTGCTCATTCGGTAGAAAACAACGTTTTCGTCCAAAGTTATACTAAGGAAAGGGTATAATTTGGTCTTCAAAAACTTTTCCAATTCCCGAAAAATTTTAAACCCGACATGCAGTTACGCTTGCATTCAAGGTTTACAGACCACAAACCATATATTTTCTGCATACAAAAATTCATACACTTCTCTACAGTAATAAGAGCAGACCATATAGGTTTCATGAGATTTAGCAGTAAATTTGAGCCATATGGTAAACCTTACAGGCCACATTGGTAAATGCAGAGACATGACGTCTTATAAGCGGCCATTTTACGGTATAAAAACTTCTCATAATTAGAAAATTTTGAAGACCGAATTATACCCATTCCTTAAGTATAACTTTGGAAGAAAACGTTGTTTTCTACCGAATGAGCAAAAGAATGAATATTTTTATGCATGCTTTCCATGAAATATAATTGGGTATTTAAGGGCATCGAAAATCAATGAGAAAAATGTATGATAATTAGGTAGTCATTCTTTGCTGAGCATGGATTTTGCATGCAAACTCAAAGAAATTCGTTCGAAAGCCGACACCCTGAAATAACTGAATTACTATAGAATTATTCTGCACGATGATTAGTTTTGAAACCCCACTTAGTTAATCCGTTTGAAACGAAGACGCATTTCGGAATTTCGGTCGACATTTCATGAATTAGCCCGCCCACTGTATGTTATAAATTGAAAAACAGGCATCCCAAGAAATATGATTGGGAAAGTGGAACTCTTTGGGAAACAGTTAACTTTACTGTATAAATTTTTGAGACTGGTTCCCCAACTCGTCTTCGGAAAACGGTTGTGCAAAAACAATTAACTTCTAGACCAAGTCTGACAAAGGATTACATGAATGGTTAACGTCATCGTCTCGGGATTGGTTGAGTGAATTTGAATCTGTCCTTAACGATTTTGTATGTGGCATCTAAATCGATATGCCGGTTGCTGCATGCCTCATCTAAGTGCATTGCCTCCAGGAATTCGCGGCCTTTCCTTATTGGGCAGGCGCCAACAATGCGAGTGTTTTCCCATGCGAATTTATGCCCAGTGTCCAGTGTGTGCATGGCCACCTGGGATAGATGGTCGCGTCTCTTCACCGCTATCTGATGCTCATGTATACGGGTTAAGACAGAGTTCCCAGTTTGACCACAATAAACGGCATCACAACTAGAACATGGGATTTTGTAGACAACACCTTTTCTTTCGAGGTAGTTGATCCTGTCCTTAGGGTGTACAAGCTGTGTGCGTAAGGTAGTCGCCGGCTGGTGTGCTACGTGCATCTGATACTTTTTTAATTGTTTTTCACCTACTTCAAATGCATTTTCACGTATGGGAGAGTTCGCTAGGTGGTTGGTTTTGGTGCCTGAGCGGCCGTAGCATTGGAAATACCTTTTATATTAAAGTCATGCGGGTACCCATTTGGGACGAACAGTTTGTAAAGGTGTTTCATTTCTGCTCGATACATTGTTTCATTAGAGCAGTGGGTTTTGGCTCGATTCAGAAGGCTACAGACTGTACTCTGTTTGTGAGAGACAGGGGGATTATTCTCAGAGTGTAGGATGACCTCTGAGTACGCCTTTTTGCGATAAAGTGATGTATGAAGTGATCAATCTGTTTTTCAACGTACAAGAACATCCAGGAATGGGAGTTGTCCATCAACCTCTGTTTCGAAACTAAACGTGATTCCAGGAAATATAGAGTTAATGGTGGTAGGGAGCAGATTCAAATGATCTTTCTTGACGATGACAAAAGTGTCATCTACATATCGCAGCCAAAGTTTTGGGCTAATTGTGGGAAGGACTATGCATTCTAATTTCTGCAGTACGGCTTCTGCCAATAAACCGGATATGCCTGAATCCATGGGAGAACCTTTTAATTGCCGGTAGCATTGTTTGGAGAAGGAACAGGTTGTCTGCAGACAGAGATCAGGGATTTGAAGGAAAGCTTCTGGATGCACCCCAGAAGTGTATGTTAGAAGGAGCTCTTCGGTGAAGCTTTTTGCTAAATCTAGCGGAATCGAGGAGCAAGACCATGTCAAGTGACACTATTATCTCGTCACATGTAGTGTTGACACCGTTTAATTTTCCTAGAAACTTTTAGGGTCCTCAATGGAGTTACATTATCTATCTGTATTACTTAACGGGGAGGGAATAATTGTGTTGACAGTCCTTAACACTTCCAACAAATACCTATGCCAATCTTCTTCAATGGCTGGTCTCACTTTATCGTTGTTGGTTTGGAGGAATGTCTTGCTCGACCATCATATTTACAATCACGATCTAAATGGGAATTCTAGGGCACCGTCTTTCTGTGTACTTGAAGATGATTCTCAGCTGCGCAAAATGCAGCTGTCCCTCACTTTTTATCATAACAGGATCAGTTTTGTGTCACGGAAACAAATAAGTTTTAGTTGGCGTCAAGAGGTCTTCTTTGTGGGACCAAATTGCAAAGTGCCGGGAAGATAATCTTAGCTGCCAAAAATTTAAAATGCAGTTTAAATGGACAAGCAATGTACACGGCACAAATTATTATTTTCATCTTTTAGTCACATTTCAAACTCCGTTATGGGCTACGTAAGACAGTTTTGCACTAAAGCTCATTTCAAACCGTCGTTATCACAACCGCTTACTGATATTTAATAGGTTTTTTAATGCTCCACCTTTTAAGACAAATGCTCGTAAAGCACAAACACATTTTATTGCCGAAGATAGCATACACCGTCAGTCATGTTTTCCAGAAAAGACTAACTCCGTTCGCATCTTTCTTAAAACCTTGTAGAAAAATCAAAACGGAAAGCAGTGCATATCCCTGTATATGCCAAGAGACAAAATAAATAAATTGCGAAAATTTCCCCGACTGCATTGTGCTCCGAAATTACGTTGTTGTAATTGAAATCTCCTTTGGCAGAGTTGAGGAGTCTTCGCCAAATCAACCGAGAAACTCGGGTTGCGGCAATTCAAATTTGCTAAACAGCTCATCATAAGATGCAAATCCACGACGACCTTTTTGACCTGAAAATGTGGCTGAAAAATCCAAAACTTACTTTGTCGTTTAAATTCTCGATTACCGACATCCCACTGTGTTAGTTTTAGATTTTGATTGGGAAAGATCCCATGCATTGGGTCGTTGTCGTCTACAAATGTAAGCCGACTCTGTCATATCAAAACGTTTATTTTAAGTTACCAACTGGCATCCGCATTACATTTAGGACACCTAAGCAGCAGCAACTACGATAGTGAAAATTACAAAAGGGAAAAGTATAATAATTTGCTATTTGCCGTAACATCCCGTTGTTGAAAGAGAGGGTAAATTTTTACCCATAAGAACGCCAGTGAGACGAAAATGCACTGGGAAAGATACTAAGATACAGATGCCTTACTATCACAGCAGAAAATGAGAATGACGGGCGCTAAAGAATACGTTTTCTATTCCCACTTTTGCTTCTCGTCAAAACAATTGAAAAGTATGTGTGTAGGTAATGCAGCTTGAAAAGGTTGTTATAAAGCCGACTAGCATAGCCGAGCAAGGAAGTTGCAGTTTTGGGCTGAAATATGATCATCACGAATAAATATGTAGACCCATTTCTTCATTACTCTTCCCATTTAAAAACTATCCTCATGTCCGCGACTTACAATTTTAGAAAGGGATATTCTGCTCTGGCAACAATCCCGCCAATCTCTATCCTGGCAAGATTGAGCATAAATATATGCTGGGGCATTTTACGAGTTGGTGTCACTACACGAAAAACAATATGGCGACTTCGGCTCTCAACACCATTCCCTAGATAATTTTTAGCCATATATGACGAACACTGCTGCTGTACAGAAAACAGAGCGCAATTTCTTAAAATGTTCCGAATAGGACTTCCGAATTATATCTCAATAAAGTCAAGCGGTCTCATAGCTCCTAATTCATACTCTTGTTGGTATGTAAATTCAATTATTTTCGGCCTGTGAAGCATATATTGCCCAGGTTTGCGGGAGCGGACGTCACTCGTGTTCTTCTCTGAAGTTGATGTTTATCACATAAAATCCCTGCCTAATACCTTTGGCCTCACTCAACAAGCTCTGTTCCGGTAAATCTTTCCCAAATTCGCCCAAATTTCCCCGGCAATATTAGAGGACACAAGCAATTATATAGGTAATGTAAGAACAATAAAAGGCTCATCGAAACAGGTTTATTATGCTGTTGACGTTTCTGTGAATAGACTTAGCCATCCAAACCGTCAACAATGCATAAGACCTGCTCCGATGAGCTCTTTCTCTTTGCAAATTTTTCACCAGGAACTGCAGCCTTTCATTTCAGATGTATACATATGTATAGGGGAAACTAAGAGGGTGTGTGATTTGCTTGAAAAGCAAAGAAACTTAGCACAAGTGATGTGACCTTGTAAGTAGACAGCGTGATTAAAGTAACACAGGAAACTGCATTCGCGCACAAACGCCGCACAGACTTTGCGGATTACTATGCATTTGGATAGCACAACTACGGATTTTGAGAAAAAAATTTCGATTGGCACACACCTAATTCAACTTTCCACATATACAATTTCTGTGTTCTTGTTAGAACGGCAGTTCCTATGAGATTAAGGTCTGGTAGCTGAAATGGCAGGCCAAAAGTTGCCTGGGCTCACCTACCTGAAGAACTGAAGTAGTCGGTAACACTTTCCGGAGAAAATGCATGATGTCTCAGTGGAATTCCGAAGGTCGCATAATACAAAAAAGTTAATGAGACAGCAAACGCTCTGATCATTCTGTAAGGACATAAAACAAGATTACTTGACGGAACATGAAAAATGAGAGTATAGTCTTTCTACCGATTGTCAACTTTAATGTAACCAACGCTCTGATAGAATCCTGAGGTTAGGTGCTTTACCTTCAACTTTAAGAATCAAAGGACCACTCATTCAACACATTACTCCACAATATTTTTAGCTACATTTTGGGCGTTCTTATGTAGGTGCTTACATAACAGTCTCAAAGATCCCCCAGAAGGCTGCTCTAATTTTGCCGCCGCACGTAATTTGCTCTGCAGTAAACGCTTGCTCTAATACAGTACAAACCAGCCATGTACTCTGTACGCTTTTGGCAGAATTGCTAGTTTGACTCAATTACTTTATTGACCTAAATGTCTGACATTTACCAGCCGACATCTGCACTACACCAAAAACTGGAAGCGGCGATCACAACACAATGAACGGTTATAGTTAACAGTCTTAGGCCTTCTATAATGCAGCTCATCTCTAGGTAACCCCGTGGAGAGAATTCAAACTTAACCAAACCTTGTGAACCCGAATCGTGCAGTGCAGGTTTTCCTTTTGTTTTCATAAATTGTTCAACCTCATATAGCTGTCCCATTAGGACCACAATATAATCTGGGTAAGAAAAAATCTTATAAAAAGAAATTTACTTTATTATTGGCCAGGACGTGCTAGTTTTAACTGGCCGTTAAAAATATTTGCACGATATATTTTGAGATGCAAATTGGAGACTCATTAAAAGTAAAAGCAATATCATCGTCTTTCTTAGAAAAGGGAGTTTGAGTACTGTTAAATGTGAAGAACTAACCACGACAGATTTAGCTGTAGGAAGAACTACCTTAGACGATTTGCAAGAACTGAGATAGCTGATTGAAGAAAATATGTGAAAGCATAGACCCCGAAAGATCTCCTAAATCTCCTAAGTTTAAGATATTAGATCCAGTTTTGAGAAACTGTAAAATTTCCAAAGACTTCAATAGGCACTATTTTCGTTAGGTGGTGACACACAGACCATAATTTCGAGTACGTACTTTGCGACATTACTTTGTAAACCCGATGCACTCCACAGTTGCAGACGATCTTGACTGAACAGTCTAGTTTTACTTATGATTTTTAATGCAATTGGTTTCATATACCATGAGGCTATTTGAATTCTGCAAGGCTTCAGTCAACGGATCTGTGTAAATAGCTATGGGGCCATAACAAGGGTCTTGTTTTTGTTCATTGTAAGCCACACCACAACATAACTTTCATTTTGATTTCAAAGAGCACAAAAGATATGGGGCTAAAAGACTTATTAGCGTAATAAAGAGGGACTACTGTTAACTGACAATGTACATCAGACTTAACTGGACCCCGTCTCCGCCTCAAACTTTCCCTAAGTATGAACGGGACAAAATAAGATTGGAATATTGAAACATCGAAATGAAATGCTAGACGAAGAACATAACTTACATCGCAAATATCGGCTAGCATTCCCAAGTTGCTTACTCAACGGTCTCAATCGGGCCTGCACATCGGTGTCCAAATTGTTTATTATCGAAAATAATAGCTTGACTAGGTATACCGGGGCTCCTACCCGGATTTGCGCGGCAATTATGTGAACTAATACATTGCTGTACGCACTGAACTCTAGCAGTAAAATGAGCATTGTCAAACATGTCTATTTTAATTGCGCCTTATTTTGACTTACCCACAAAAGACCACATTGGAACTGCAAACTGTTTGTTAAAAATAACGAGTTTTTTATGCTGCAGCTGGTACAAATGATGCGATTTCGGTGATCCTATTAAGCATAAGCACCACAAACTGGATTGCTTCTGCCTATCCAGTAGAACTGTTTTTGATCCCAAACAATAGCTGATTATTCCAAATAAGTCTACTTTTTATCCTAAAACTGCAATAAAATGCACGTCTAGATTAGGATAACACGAAAATCAGTTGACGTTCTTTTGATAGTTATGTCGATGCAGATTCAAAACTATGTACTTTATTTTACTTGGACGGAGTATGTAGTCCGAAGACTTTGGAACTAAGACCGTTCATAAATGCTATTTGAAAACTGTACTAACTTAATATTTTAACCGCTTCATGATCTACTGTTAATATTGTATCGTTAATCGAGTATAAAATATGTATTTCGATTCAAATGTATTAGAAAATCGCATTTTGGAAATCTTACCTATTAGAGTGATAAAATTAATTTTTCACTTTCTTTTGAAGGTCTGCTTGTGTGTCATGTTTCCGACGGGCACATTTAATATCTCATTTTTGACCAATCCCGTTAATTAAGTGCATAATCTGATTGGATAAAATCGGACGATCACCTGCCTTAAGCTGAATATGAAAAATATAGTCACTGTGTCTTTCAAAATGCTTTTTAAAGGTAATTTTACGCGCAAAATATCGACAACGAAAAACGTTTTAATTCTTACTTTAAATAACATTCCATGTATTCCGAAATTGCGATGCTTAACATCACAAAACGTTCTTACCGATCTTCACAAGTTAGGACGGTTTATCGAGTAAACAATATTTGATCTTAACCTGCGATTAGGTCCGACAATTTCTGTCTTATATCTGTGTGGTTTTTACGCATCTCAGTCGGGGACTGTTTTAGAGCGGTTTCCGAAAGGCATGATTTGTGTTTAGCTGGAATGAAAACTTGGCAATGTCTATATTCTTTTGAGATCGAAATTTGTTGGCAAACATCTGCATGTGGATTAAAGAGCATGATGACCATCTGAAAGCACTAGATTAGATTTAATGACCGACCTCATATGTTAACCGAATCTTTTTATTGCGTCTTTGATTAAGAGGTATTCTAGATGGATTCTAAGTGAATTACTTAGGAAATCCTACTGGGGCAGTCAACCTACCGTATCAGATTTAGTGGATTCTAGACGTTGCAGTAGGTTGGGTGGGTAACTTGACCTAAGTGTGATCAAAATCGTGTCGTCCGGCGGGGCCTCGTAGCCCAAGTGGTTAAAGCGTTGGCTGCACCAAAGCCTTCCCCTAACTGCGTAGGTTCGAATCCCACCGAGGCGCCGAGTTTCCACAGTTGGGTCAATATGGATTATTCAAAATCTGCCAAAACGTCTAAGAAAATAAGGGATTACTTATGTTAGGTTACAATTTTAATAATCTCGTAGTAAAATCCCATAATATTTCAAAATGTCGGGATATTGTCTCTTGAAGGCACTTATTTTTATCTGCCTGCGAAAAACACGCTCGATAAAGAAATGGCCGCCCAAGAAGTATGCAGACTCGCAATCGATTTCAGATGTTCTTATAAGTCCAAAAAATCTTCTGCGGAAAACATTCAGAAAAACCACAGGTTTGTATTCATTTGTAGGAAATTTTCTTCTCCTTCAAAACATGTACTCAAAGAAAGGCTATCTTTTGTCTTATGAATGGTCTCCAATTATGCGATTTTTAAACCATGTAATGCTTACTCGTATCTGCTCGTTTAAGTATGTAACAGGCCTACATCTCTAGCCATATTAATGGGTCCCATATGGTACTTTTTGAGGCACATAAGGGAACTTACGTTTTTCCTTACGCGGAAAGTATACGGCTTGCAGACTTACAAGTCTAAAAAGACATGTGACGGCGGATAGAGGTTAAAATTATTCGGAAACAGAAAAAGTTTTCAAAACCACTTAAAAGTCTTTATGTGAGTGTAAAATTTAAAAAACACATGATTTTTTTTATCAAATTAGAACGAAGAAAAATGATTTTTTGGGGGTTTTCTATAAAATATATTTGAATTTACAAAATATTATAAAATCAATAAAGACAGTACAAACTAATTAATTAGCCGTTTTACCGACTGCGATGTTTGTAGACGGTCGCTAAATGCATTCAAAAGCCAAAACCCTGCTGTTTATGAAATATCACGGGCTTAGATCGTATGATACTCGGCTTTATGTTTATTTACTGCGATGTTCGATTAATCAAATAAGGTGGTTTCTTAAAGACATGTCCCTGGCCCGGAGTGCGACTGCTTACCGGGGCGCAACTAGTGGGCTTCCATCACAAAGTTCTCAGAAAATATATGCACGTTGAATTGCTGAAATCATGAAAAAATACAAGTAAAAGTAAGAGGGCGTTCATGTGTGATCATTTTTATTGCTGCGTGTTACAGAGTCTGTCAAGGAGGAAAATGACCTTGAAAAAACTAATTGGCCTTCCTTTCATTATTAAATCTCGACAATGAACTTTATTTTTTAGTAAACGGAGTCGGAATTGCAAAATGCTATCGCCATGCGCCAAAAGAGAAAATACTCAGAGTGGATGCTGTGGAATGGAAATTGTGTTTTCGTTTAAATTGATCAAAACTTGTAGCAGAATAAATTCTGGCTGTTTCCTTAGTTAGCGAGAGTATCACTGTGTGAAAATTCAAATGGAAAATTGGTTTTCAAAGCAGTGTTGATGAAATATCACCGTCATGGCAGTCAACGGTCGCAATAACGGAGGTTCACCTGTAATTTTACCTGCACCTAGGGCTAAAGTGTAAGTAACCAGGATAGGGAATCATCAGCTTCTGCTAGTCAGAATAATTTCTGTCGCAGCACGGATCTAATCTAAACGTGTCTAATCAGACTGGCTACAGCAATGTGTGTTGATTTTGAGCTGGAATCTATAGAATAATTGAGCACTAACATAGTCAAGTAATTAACATTTATTTTTGATTCAGCGTCTGTGTACCAGAGCACGTGTGGATTCCGAAATGCTAAGATGTGTCTAAAGACAAATAGTATTGAAAACGATGGTTCTTTGGCAGCAGCCTTGCCAAAAACCGATAAGAGTTGACGATCAGGGGACTCTATGAAACTGTGTGAAAGAACACTGGAAATTGTTTTTTTTTCAGCGCAACCTACGCGCTTGGAAATTAAGAAAATTTTAATCATTAACGATTCACCTCAAAGTTTAGTCCTAGCGACACTCGTATGTGCTGCTGTTTTGATAAGACAGGTAATAGAATCACCAT